ACCAAATATTTATTGCCATGATAAACATAGCCGTGTCCTTCTAATATTGCCTTGAAAATTTAATTTTAGATAATTTTTGCTATTGATTCCCAGAAATAACTATAAATTATTGCAATAAATGGTTTTTAGAACTCAACATGCTTCAACAACAACAATCTTTATTCCATAGAGTGGGGTTGGCTGCAAGGTATAATACGACATTATGCAATCTTTAAATATATCATTAACTAAAAGGCTTCTCTATCTCCTTTGAAGTGAGTTGAAAGAATTATATATACAAAGACTTCTTGAAAATATACAGTAAGTGACTTCATGTAAGTAATGTAATTTTACATAATTATCTTTGTTATATATTTTATATTTTTTTAATTTTTATATGATTGCTTGATAACTGTACAAGTGAAAACAAATGGCTAAAGTGTATAATTAGTTCTTTCATTCTATAAAATATATTTTCAGTCCTCTAATCTTGTAGCAAGTATTGTTAGTTTTAAATAATTATTTTTAATATCAATTATTGTTATTATTTAAAAAAATTAAATTTAATATGTCAATATTGAAAAATATTTTGTTAACATTTAAAAGTTTAATGTAGGAATTTTTTGTTGATAAAACTCATGGTATTAAGGTTAAATGACTGGAAAACACTTTATAAAATTAAAGAAGTCTAAAATAAAATATTATGTAAAGTTAAAGACTTAAAAATGCTGTTCTAAAAAGAAAAAAACTAAAAGATTCATTTTAGCCGAGAAAATTAATCATGGATTGATATCATCAATATTATCAAGCAATAGTTTACAAAGTGTGACAAAAAAATTTTGTTAAAACAATAAATAAAATGAGAGATAGAAGGAGTATTACAGGCACCTCTCCAATAATCTTGTGTAAAGCTGGAAATTTTTAGATACAGCGGGTTCGTATCCCAGAAAAGAGAAAAAGAAAAAAAGAAGTAACGTAAAGGTTAATTAGAACCAACTATTAAAAGAAGAAGAAATAAGATCAATTATTTGAAATCAATCAAGAATTAAGGATATGACTGACTGTTTTCTCCGCACAATAATTGCAGATCATGCTTTGGGAAAACAAATAAGCTGAACATGCTTACGTCCATCTGGAGATACCCCCTCATTTTTTATGTATAAATCATTTATATTAATATTATCAATATCAATATAATAAAAATATAAAGAATAAAATTTTATAAAATTATAAATATAATCCTCAATAAATAAATAAATTATAAATATTATTTTTTTATTTCTCTCTCTCTATTTTTTAAGGATAATGTAAGCATTTTATTTAAAATAAAATATCATTATCAATTCAATAACTTATAAAATAAATCACTTCATTCTTTTAAAATGTGATCTATAAAGTGAACTGAAAGGAGTAAGCTCTACCTATACTCAAATGAATATCAAAGTAGGGAGGAAAAATAACGTGCTTGAGTAACACTTGATAAAGTGATTATCTAAGTTGAATATAAATAAACTAGGTTGACATAAGATACAATATTGAACATTGATGGCACATACTATTGCCCTTTTAACTAATTTTAAGGTCAATCTTTTTTTTTTTTTGATATTTGGATTAGAGTATGAGACAGCAACTAGAGAACTTAATAGGGCTTTAATTAATTAATATGAATTAAGTCAGAGTATGTCATGAATCCTGTAAGATGCACGGAGTTTATCAATTTAATGAATTCTCTCTCCCGACAAGTTAATTTAATAGATAAATATAATTTTCAATCTCTATATTTTTTATGTTTTATATTTTATTTTTATATTTTTTTAATGTTTTAAACCCTTTTATTATTTTAAAATAATAAAAAATAAAAATATAAGAATTAAAAATATAAAATATATATAAAAATAAAATAAAATATGAGTAAAGTATGAAAAATAAAATTTACGTTTATCTTAATTTAATAATTTCTTCCGTATGAGCTCCTTTTAGCTTGTAATCATGACAAATAGTCATTCAAAAAATGTGAAGGAGAGAATCAATTTTTTTTTTTAATTTACAGTTGTTCAAAGCCTCCTAGCCCCTAGCTAGGCTTTCTTTTACGCAGATACTTGCACAGCTTTATCACTCAACCTCTTTTCTCTCACATCCTTTTCAACATCTGCGTTCGAAAGTGAACACCTTGACATTTAATGAGCTTCTCAATCTTCTGGCGCAAGAAAGTTGTTTTAAAAAAAAAACAAAAGAAAAGAAAAGAAAAGAAATTCAAAGAGACGTTGCAATGTGAACCTGTGCATCTTTACATGTTTGGATCAATTCTTTGGATTAATTACTCATCTAATTTTATTTATGAGTAATTTTTAATATATTACAATATTAAAAAAAATTTTAAAATTTATTAACTCTATCTTAAAATTTAATAAATTTTTTAACTTTTTTTTATTAAATATACACATTTAAATAATATATTTTTTCTTTAACATTTAATAAAGGACAAAAAAATTATAATAAAAATTTAAACGCTTGATTTATAAATAAGATTATTTTTTTTTATCTCTGCTTGAGGGAGCAGATCGATTTTTGTGGGCAACATCGTATATAAAGATGTCGTTTATGAAGATGGAATCCAAGTTTGATCTTTAACATGAAACTAAACCCACACTTCAAATCCAGAGATTCACAACCCAACCGTGCTTAAAACATTGCGTCTCATTACTATGCAAGAGATTATTCATATTGTGAAGCGCAGGTCCGAGATCATCCTTGCCGTTATAACCGTCTCTCAAGAAACAAGGATGCATGATAATGGTCCTTCCACGGTTAAGAGTTCGGACTAGTCGGGAGATGGCAATGTTACCAAGTTTTTCAAGACACGGGTGATATAACAATAATAAAAAAAAGGAACATATATAATGCTATAATTTATTCTTAATTTGACCACTTACACCGCCATTAATTGGTGGTTGTTGAAGCTCCACAACAGTGCACCTAGTATCCAGAAAGTGACAAGTACGGGAAACAAGTCAAATATAGGAGGATTTACGTTTTAATCAATTTTCTTTACTTTTTTTAATATATATATTATTTTTATGAAAAATTTATAATTTCACTTATACATTTTTTTAAATTAAATTTATTCTAATATCACAAATATATATGTGTATGTGAGAGAGAGAGAGAGAGAGAGAGAGAGAAATTTTGTTGGCATTAATTATCCAACTACTTTTTATATTTATTATTTCTCATTTTATAGAAGTCAATAAATAAGGAGAAGCCTCTAATCCCGTTGATAATGCCAAAATTGTGATCCTCGCAAAAATATATTGTCTGCCGGAAGATTGAATCCAGAATAGAGGGTGTCAAATATACTTGCATTGAATTTTCCCGGCTGCAACAATTTATTTATTTATTTATTGGAGAAGTTGTGGTGTAGTCTGTTGGCAAGCGGAGATGATGTAATGAAGGAATAATGAGAACCACAGAAAATAAAACTATGGCCGTGTCGTGCTGAAAAATTCTTGAGAGGACTTTAATGCCGCCCCCCCACGCTAAACGTAATTGAGCACGTTTTCTTTTGATTTTCCGTTCCGTGTAGATTGTCCAGCCAAGCACGTTTCTGATCACGTTGAAGCAACGAGAAAATTAACATCAATGCTCCCCTTGATCTTATCACCCATTTCAATCAAAACAAGATTCTTTTTGCCTTTTTATCTTTTTCTTTTTTACGTGCTCTCTGAAATCTTACCATTTTCATACGAATCCTAAAAAATTATTTTTTTTTCTCTCCAAATAACGAGAGATTCTCGAGGGCTGAGCATTTGCTTTTTGCCATGGGCAAGAACAACGTTATATTTACAAAGTTATCTACTGATAAAACACCTTGACCTGCTATAATCTCTATAGCTAACTTCATTTGTTAGGATACAGTTTGTTGTTATTATTGTTAAAAAAGAGGATGTTGTTACTGTGGTTGAGTTGAGTGAGAGAAATTTAGTTAACTGAGGTTCCGTATTTGAATCCAATGAAATTGAAAAAAAAAAAAAGCATCTCAAGGGAGTTGTTATATACTATATTGGGCGGCAATACTTAAAATTTAGGATAAATAACAGTTAAATTTTAAAAGAGGGAATGATACTTTTTTTTAAAAAAATAAGTTATAAATATATTGATTCAAAAGTTTACAAATTTAAGAGTTTCGATTATAAATGATGTTGAAATATTTTGAATATATTATAAATTTGTATTGATTAGTTATTAAACATTGAACAAATTAGCCTATTGTAAAAGTGGACCATGTAATTGAACCTTTTGGACTGTGAATTAATTCCGTTTTCATATCTTTTAATTGAGTGAGTTGAGAGGATTTAAAAGATATAGAAATAATTAATTTATCATATTTATAAATAAATATAATTCAACTCCTCAAAAGTTCAACATTTTATCGAACTTTCATAATCTCTAATATTTTTATATCCTTTTGAAAATTATAAGGGAGTCTATTAATTTGTGAATCTACCCACTCCAAAGGTAACTGAGATCCTTAATTGAGTTTGTATTTTTTACCATAGTAATAGTATTGCAGGTAACCTTATGAAACTTAACTTTGACCATTTTATTCACATTTCTTTTAACAAATGATATATTGAAATTCAAAATATAACTTTAAATTTACAATCTTAATATTTTTATTTATAATTATTTAAATTAATATTTACAATAAAATAATTTATTGAAAACTTAACTCTCATAAATTTTCTCTTTTAATTAGGGCTTTATTCTCAATCTCCTTTACACCTAATGGTGATGGGGCACCTAAAGAAAGTAAAAAGGCAACTTATTATCTAACAGAGGACTTGAAAGGGAATGCCTTTCAAGATGTCTTCTCTTCACATGGAGTACATTTTCTCTATCTGACTAATTGCCAATTAGAAGAAACTAGCTAGCGCTAAAGTTAACTTCCTATTTGTGCAGCCAGTGTGACACCTCATCGGTGCTATAAATTAAAATCTGTCGTTTTGTCTACGAACAAGACTGAGAGATGCCAAACAATGAACCTATCTACTTCATATCTATCAACCCCTTTAAAAGTTTCCAGTGGCAACGACTACGGAAGATGAATGGAAGCTGTGCTGTGGAATTTGTATCAGTATTATTCTATTACTTTACTCTTTTCTCCTCTCAGAAATTAGAAAAGCATTAGAAAGCTCATAGTGTCTCCTTTGACTCTTACTCGCCCCCTAAATTGGGATACAGTGCCAAGCCTTCAACTTTAGACCTGGTACTTGGATATCTTGCGCACACCAATTTGCTTTCAAACTCTATATCTTCTAGACTCTTTCACCTTCCTCATCATTTCCAGATATATATAAAAGCTTAGTAGTGTTTCGGGGTTTTCTCTGTGAAAGCATCCATGTCTACTTCAAAGAGTGATAGCAGTAGCAGTGAAGATGATAATGAACTCAGGAGGGGACCTTGGACTCTTGAAGAGGACAATCTGTTAACGCAGTACATCTCTGTTAATGGGGAAGGACGATGGAATTTGCTTGCAAAACTTTCAGGTAATAAATGAAAAACTCTGAACAATAGAACCTGAAAATAGTGAAGCAATTAATCTCTCTTGATGTCTGATTTTCGTTTTCCTGTCTCTTTTGTGAGAGTCAGGGTTGAAGAGAACTGGGAAGAGTTGCAGATTAAGATGGCTTAATTATCTGAACCCACAGGTAAAGCGAGGAAATTTATCCTCAGAAGAGCAGGTTTTAATCCTTGAACTCCACTCAAAGTGGGGCAACAGGTACCTACAATTCTATTCTATGACTAACTCTTAAATGTTGTCCATCAATTATCAACCGTTGATGTTCATTAAGTTTATGGGATTGCTTGTACTAGGTGGTCGAAGATTGCTCAACATCTTCCTGGGAGGACAGACAATGAGATCAAGAACTACTGGAGAACTCGGATTCAGAAACAAGCAAGACACTTGAATATTGACCCAAACAGCACAGAGTTTAAAGAAATCATCAGGCGATTCTGGATGCCAAGGTTGCTGCAGAAAGCAAGAGAAATAGCTTCTCCTCCTGCTGCTGCCATGTCAATCCAAAACCAAACGATTCCTCTGTCTATTGAAAGTGTTTCTCAGTGTTCACAAATAGGGACAGTACCAACACAGATTCCTTGGCAGCGACCTTGTGGGATGAATGAAATAGTAGTTCAAAACAGTTCATGCGTGTCGTCTTCTTCCTCAGAATCATCAAACATCCCAGAAGTGTCTCAGTTTCAAGCCTTAGATAACAGTGACATGATCTCCCTTATGTATGATGGTTACCATGTTAATAACAACAATTATGACATGGAAACATTCAATCTGGGAACAACGGTGGCAGCTGAGGCTATGGCAGGCAACTGGATGAACAACGAAGTTGCATGCAGCCTGTGGGGCATGGACGAACTGTGGCAGTTCAGAAACTTCCAAGAATAAGAATTTCAGGGGTTCTAGATCTTTTTTGTGATGGACCAAATTCTATATTCCATGATTTTAGTTATTTGTTATCTGATATAAGCAACTGTCAATTAACAATTTATATATATATATATATATAGCTACTGGATTTATATGTAGAGGGTGATTGATTTGTTGTACAAGATTAGCGTGGTGTTGTAGTTGTTCTGCCCTGCTTTTGCTCCGATGTGTTAGTTTTTGTGTTTATTCGATTCTGATGGGAAGAGTCACCATTTAGAAGGGCCATGTATAAACAAGGTTTGGAAATTAGCATGAAAAAGGATTTCACTCATTCTTTTCTCTTCCTCAGTTCTCAGCGCAGTGCAAAAATCACAGAAATTATTCCAAGGACCAACTTTTAGAAACGTGTATGTGAAGGGTCCTTTCATGTATGGTACATTGCTTTGAGACACTCACATAGAGTCCTCGGGCCTCCTTTGTCTTTTTGAAAGGGAAAAAAGAATTAGGAAAGTAAAACAATTCCAAAGAAAAAAAAGAAGGAAGGTAATTTTTTTTGGGTAAAAGGTAAAAAAATTTTAGAATTCATTTTAGTAGTTATTATTAATTTATTCAGTGTTTATAACTCGTCCAAAAATTTCTTGTTTTTTACTAAACTCAATGGGAAAAAAAAAAGATAAATAAGGTTTTTTTTTAACACCCAACAAACAGAACCTAACCAAGCCCAAATCCAATGGAAAGTACGACAAAAGCCCAGCGTGGGTGAAGAGAGAGAGAGACTTTGCCATTGCCATTTGCCAACCATGCAAACAAGTCCTTGTAATTACTTCAACACTTACTTAAAAATTTGCTAACAATTGATTAATTAATATCAAATGTATTAGTACTTCCTGTTAGAAAATATAAAAAATTTTAACTGAATCTTATTCTTAATAAAAAAAATTATTTATTTTTAAATTGACTCTATATTTTTATATTTATCTTTATTTAATAGGATGTCTCACTCTAAAAATAAATATAAAATAATTTATTTAATAAGGATACTTTAAAAAAGAATAATAATTAAACCTTAAAAAATTAAAAATATTTTATATTTTTAACATCTAACTCCTTAAAAAATGTCTAATATTTTTTAAAGGATGGAGTACTTACTTGCCTCCTTTTTATAAGATACTTTCAATATTATTATTGAAATATTAAAGTATTTAGAATTTATTAACTCTATATAAAAATTAATTTTTAGTATTTTTATCTCATTTAAATTTATACAGTGTATTTAAAAATGAACCAACAATTCTCTATATGAAAATGGCAAAAATATTTATCCCATATGGTACCTTATAAAAAGAACAAAAAAATTTCTTCTCCAAGTAGCTTATGAAAATATAAAAATATAATGCATATCATTGTAAAAAAAAAATCCTCTTATTCATATTTATTTTTAATATGAATAAAAGCAGATATATAGGTTTGTGCATTGTATAAAATATGGAAATATATTTTATTATTTGTGAGTTATAAATAACGTAATTAGTTGTATTTTTTATAGTATATTAGTTCACTGAACATGGATATAAAAAATTGTATAATTTTTTAAATATTGAAACCATTTATAATTCATAATCAGAATTTATAATTATAATTTAAAATTATATTTATATTTATTTATAAATATCGAAATAATAACTTGGCATCCACTCGACTGCATTCGGCATTTTTATGGATTATAGCTTTCATTAAATACCACACGTCCACGTGTACCGAAACTAATCCTAGGCGTTCGTTCCATGTTTATAAACAAAAGTGCAATCCCAAAAACCCTAGGGTTTTCAGTGAACTCGGCGAAACCTGACCAGAGAGTCTCACCCGAGGCAGCGGATCTATCCGGGGGTTTGCTACTTTCAGAGTAGGAAAAATAAAATTTGAACTTTGATGCGCTATTCATATTTATTTTTAATATGAATAAAAGTAGATATATAGGTTGTGCATTGTATAAAATATGGAAATATATTTTATTATTTGTGAGTTATAAATAACGTAATTAGTTGTATTTTTTATAGTATATTAGTTCACTGAACATGGATATAAATTTTGTATAATTTTTTAAATATTGAAACCATTTATATCATAATCAGAATTTATAATTATAATTTAAATTATATTTTATATTTATTTATAAATATCGAAATAATAACTTGGCATCCACTCGACTGCATTCGGCATTTTTATGGATTATAGCTTTCATTAAATATCACACGTCCACGTGTACCGAAACTAATCCTAGGCGTTCGTTCCATGTTTATAAACAAAAGTGCAATCCCAAACCCTAGGGTTTTCAGTGAACTCGGCGAAACCTGACCAGAGAGTCTCACCCGAGGCAGCGGATCTATCCGGGGGTTTGCTACTTTCAGAGGTGAGGAATAAATCGGAAACATGTTTGAACTTTGATGCGCTATGCAAAGTAATTGATAAAAATCAATGGAAGATGGGAGGAACTTTCTCTCTTTTATGTTCTCTTGGCAATCAACACAGTGCGGCGGCGGGTTTGAATGTTTGATCGATGGCTGTGTTTGGTTTCGTAAATAAATTGCTTGCGGAGAAGCTATAGTCTTAAAAAATATTGCTGAAATGCGTATACTTCACAACATATTCGTTAACTATAGTCCATTTTCTTTGTCCTGATTTTTATTCTCTCGATAGGATTCAAAGACATGAATTACCTCTTACCTGGAAGGAATTAGGAATATGGTATCGCAAAATTCTTTGGTTACTTTAATGTCTGTGATGAGGATTATGAACCCGAATCCTCGTTGCTCTATGCTGCATTACAATCCCTAAATGAGTTTCTGAAACTCTGAATTTGCATTTATTATCCTGAACATAAGTTAACCCATTGAATTGCTCTAACGTAGACCGTATGTTTTGTGTGCAACCTTCTTGCAAGTCCTTATTTGACATTTAATGTACAGTCATTGACACAGCTGACAATAAGTGTCCTGTAATTTCAAAAACGAAGTGATGATGTGACGAGAAGATAACAAGTCTCCAAAATGTTTTATTAACCATAGCATTTTTAATATATGGTTTAGTGTTCGTCTTACAATGACAATGCTCTACTAAGGAAGAGTTTTAAATTTAACTTAGATTTTCACTCACTCTCAACTTGGCTTCGTTCAATATCTGTTCTTTCTTAATATATCCAGAGGTAGATTATTTATATTCTTTCCTCGATGTTCTTTTACCAGAGTAGTGAAGATGTACACATCAAGGAAGAAAATCCACAAAGATAATGATGCTGAGCCAACTGAGTTTGAAGAGTCAGTTGGGCAGGTTTTGACGTTATATACTACTTCTGTTGCCCAAACCCACAACTATGAATTTTTTGTTTCCTTTTGGCAACATATAATTTTGTTTTGAGCTTTAATTCTGTTGTTGCAGGCATTGTTTGATTTGGAAAATACCAATCAGGAGCTGAAAAGTGATTTGAAAGACCTATACATAAATTCAGCAGTGTAAGTATGTGTATTACATGCTTGAAGGTTTGTGATGTTTGTCTGTCTGTGAATTATGGCTGACATTTGTCTTGATTTGCAGTCAGATTGATGTATCTGGGAACCGCAAGGCTGTGGTTGTCCATGTTCCCTATAGATTAAGGAAGGCTTTTAGGAAGATTCATGTTAGGCTTGTCAGAGAGCTTGAGAAGAAATTCAGTGGGAAGGTATGCTGACTTTAATATCTTGTGTATGACTCATATTGGCTCATTGACAGTTGATGAGTGTCTTGACATCTGTGCGTTGTTAATAATATTAATAATATCTTAAACATTAATAATAATGGACTGAGTAAGCCAATTACTTACCCTCCCATTAAAATAGCATGATAAATTTTTAATATTGGCGTTTCTGCATTTACTAATAGCAAGTCATTTGGTTTATGTCTTGTTGATGGAGTGGCAAGATGTGAACTTGTAATTCATAAGTTTGCTTCCCATGTTTGTTGGTTCCATTGCCCATTTGTTGTTAACAGAAGGTATATTTATTTTTCAATAGTCACGAAGACGAATTTCTCTGATAAAGATGTTGTCCCCCCAATAAAATAATAAAAAAGGAGAAAAAGGCACTGACAACATGCTATCTTTATTCTGGTTACCTGTGAAGTTGTTCAGGGTGTTGAGTAATAGCTGAAACTTTTTCTTTTGGGTTAAGATGATGCATCAGTAATTTGCTGTAAAGATTTATTTGTGAGGAAATGTACTTTGTCTGAAAGATGACAAATGAAAAGGAAAAAGGAAATGATGCTAAAAGTTCTCGCCTTGTGTGAATTACCTGTTTCCATTTTATGTGATATTTTTTTATGTTTCAAAGTTTTCCTGAACTTGTAGGATGTAGTTTTGATTGCCACCCGGAGGATATTGAGGCCTCCAAAGAAGGGATCTGCTGTGCAACGTCCTCGAAGCCGTACACTCACTGCTGTGCATGAAGCAATGCTGGAGGATGTTGTATTGCCTGCTGAGATTGTTGGGAAGCGCATTAGGTACCGAATTGATGGATCCAAGATTATGAAGGTAATATGGTCGCTGTTAATCTTTGATGTTACAGTTGTTAGATTAGCTATCAAGATCTTTAGAGGATCTCTACGTAACCAGGCGAATGCACATGCATATACATTGAGCCAATTAAGTGTCCTAAAACTTGCTGTCTTGGAACTTCACTGTACATTCTGTTTTTCCCCCTCCTTGTGGTGGATAGAAGCTGCTTCATGTGAGCATTGTGGCATATATATAAGCTGCTGCTTCAAGTACAACAACTTATGCCAATTTTAATAGCATCTGTCCTCCTCTGAACAGGTTTTCTTGGACCCAAAGGAGCGAAATAACACTGAGTACAAGCTTGAGACTTTCGCTGCAGTATACAGGAAGCTGTCGGGCAAAGACGTCGTGTTTGAGTATCCTGTCACAGAGGCTTAGCTTTTCGATAGCTTGAATTTTTTCAAGAGTTAAAAATATTGTGGACCTGTTGGTTTTAGCCGTGGACTTAATTTTGTGATGATGGTAAAAAAAGCGACTTTATTCTGGCTCTCTTCATGTGGGGTTTGGTTTTGTAGTTGCAATTATTCTATTTGGAAAATTTAATTACAGCCCAGTTGGCTTTCCTTTTCTTGGTTATTATGCCTTTTTAGTATTTACCCAACAGTTTATCTTATTTTAGTATTTTTAGGGTGAACGCATAAATATCATATTCAGTTCAATGCAAATTATTGTTTTGATTTCCACTTTTTATCTTTTTCTCGCGCGCTCAACGTCAGGTTGGAGTACGCTTGTTAAACGGCTCTCAG